ATGCTATGAATTTTATTATGTAATGATAACTGCCGGTGTAGGCACCTGTGCATCAGGTTCAGTAAGTAAAAAGATCTGGGCTATGTGAAGTTAAGTTGAACTATAGTTGCCGGGGACGATGAAACATGACGAAAATGTTTTTTTTTAAAGAAATCAGTTAAAACCTTACTGTACGATTTCTTTATAATCATACAAGATTTTAGTGTTGGAGCATCTAAGAAACTTGCTAGAAGAATTGACATCAGATTTCTGAGACGACAATTTTTCATATGATTTTTTGTGTCATCTTGTATGAACATATACGATTTTTGAGTAACATCGGATAGGACCATACAAGAATTCATAACTGATCTTACTATGTGATTTTTCGACCTGGGTATGGTCGACACATGCAACTCAACTTACGACTAACTTACGACCATATACAGTCGTATACTACACTCGTACACGGCAGTCGTTTATTTTCAACGTATACGTTGATCGTATGGCACCGTATACGTTCATCGTATACGATCGTCGTATACGATGACCGTTTCTAGACGTATTTCGTCGTATACGACCGTTTACGATCGTGCTTTTTTGACCTGGGTAGTGTATTTTTATCATTGGGAGGCTATTGTTATGATTCTTTGGATATTTTATAGGCTCATCCTCTTATTTGTCATTTATTCGAGTTTCAGATTGAAATTATGATTATCATACAGCTGTGTGCCAGAAGAATGTTTATTAACGAGATCAGTTGTGAGTCAAAAGAGTGACACGAATTGCTTCAGTCAGCTGAAGTCATGATTGTCATTGCCCAGGAAGAGTCATTTCTGTTCTGTCGAAATGAGTATCTTGTGATTTATGTTTATAAAGCAAAATTTACTGATTAGTTTTATTTCAAAAGTAGATATTATTACTTAACAACATCATCGAAGAAATATGGCAAAGAAAATAAGATGGAGGATTTAATATAGGGATGCCGCATAAAGATCACTTCGATAAAAATTTCAAATATTTCCACTACGATTCAATGAAATGGGCTGATTTTTTGGTTAGTAATAGAACTTTATTCAAAGTTTTTTTTTCATCTGGATAATGTAAAGAAATACTTCTATTAAGTATTATTGTTGACCTCATTAAAGTAATTTTATCTACGATCAAGTAAGAAAAATATATGTGAAGTGTTCGATACATAATTTTCATTTGTACCTAAAAGAATAACAAGAAGAAATCAAGATACACTTTACGAATAGTACAACATTAATGCACATAGAGCAAACTTTCGGAAATAGTTGGTTTGAAAATCAGTGATTCAAATATTTAGAATTTTCAAGCATGAAATACTGTTTTTTTGCAAGAAAATTGAAGACTCGCTGCCCAAAGGGCTTCAATTATGCATTTTAATTTTTCAACTAACTATTTCCGAAAGTTTGCTCTATGTGCATTAATGTTGTATTATTCGTAAAGTGTATCTTGATTTCTTCTTGTTATTCTTTTAGGTACAAATGAAAATTATGTATCGAACACTTCACATATATTTTTCTTACTTGATCATAGATAAAATTACTTTAACGAGGTCAACAATAATACTTAATAGAAGTATTTGTTTACATTATCCAGATGAAAAAAAACTTTGAATAAAGTTCTATTACTAACCAAAATATCAGCCCATTTCATTGAACTAGAGTGAAGATACTCGAATTTTTTATCATAGTGCTCTTTATAGGACACCCTGTAGAATAATATATTAAGGATATTACAAGAATTTTACGAGTTACATAGTGGTATATTGAGTATAAGAAGTTACAAAATAGCACAGAAACTAAAGATACAGGTGTTGTATGGAATTTCACCCATAGAATTCGTTGGATGAAAAAAATAATGATCGTCTGATGACCTATAAGATAAGAAACGCAACGATAAAAATTATTGGAATTGAAGAACGAAATAACCTACTCTGTTTTTGATTGAATAAGTTCAAACGATGAATATCAAATAATATTAATAATCTATTTTCATGTTTCAGCTTCTGTCAAAAAAAAAAAGAATGTAAGTTAATATTCAAACAAGTACGAGAAAAATCACAATCGTATTATTTTTGACTTCATTCTGATTACTTTTGCACTAATCTGCATCAGAATCCCAAGCATACTGTTCCAAATTAATATAACAATCATAGTTTAATTGTTCAAGATCATCATCACTTGTTTCCATCTTGTCATCTGTATAATCTTGTTGTTCAGCTTGAATCAAATGAAAATATTCTGTGCTAGTTTTCTTTTGACATACTTGAGCAGTTTCGAAAATACAATAAGTAAGAAAAAGAGGTTTAACTTTTTCAGATATATATTTGGTGGCTAAACCGAACTGATCGGGTGAGATTTGAGTACGACGACAGTTCCAAAGGTGTAGAAGTAAAATACTAAATATTGTTGATGTTGGATATGCCAAACGGCGCAATGAAAGTTTAAATTCACTTAAATAACGAAATGATTGTTCGGCTATAACAGTATTAATACCATTGTAAATCTCATCATTTCCATTTAATGCACAATCTGGATTTGTAATTGACTTGCACATTTTATGTACATGATTTTTATGATGAAATCTATCGACTGCAACACGTATGTTAAATAATATCGTACTTGCAGAAGTTTCTTTCAGATATATACCACGATAATTTTTGTTCCAAAATAACTTTAAATTGCAAGCTGAATCATATATTAATGCATCAGGTATTTTACTTCCCATTTTAATCATAGTTAATAAATGGTCAGTTACTTGTCGTACTCCTTCATGATTGATAGATTCTGTAAAACCTATTACTACTCCACATGATAAAAATGAAGCCAAGAATCCCATACTCCTGCGTTTATTTTCAATTTGTTCATCTTCCTGTGACCTTGTTACATTACATGATTCAAGTGTTTCATCATCACCTGTTATATTACTTTGTTCTTCAAGTAATTTTAATTCGTTGTTCCATGCTTCTTCACGTTGACGATCTTCTTCTGCATTTGATGATAATATTTCATTTGAATTTTGATGATAGTAGCAATAATATGGAGAAAATCCTATACAAAAATTAAAAAAACGAAGTAAATGATGTTTCTTTACTACTTATGTTTTTCATTGATATTGAAAATCATAAATTCAAATAGGAATATATGTCAAGTGAAGAACAACACGGTTCTTATTCAAATTTAATTAAATCAATAGTTATTCAAAGTTTCCTTATACTCTCGCATATCAATAGTAAGGTTTTGTACCTGAGTAAATGAATTTCCCTTATTTAAAGTAGAAAATTTTATACAGTCAAAGTTTTGTATAGCCTTTACTTAACGAAGTATAGATACTTACTACTTTTGTTGTTCTGATTATTTATTTTCTTTTGTGGTTGATAAGGACAACCTCGATTACAGACACCTAATTCTTCTTCATTTACAAATGAAGTAACATTGTCGAAACTACAAACAGTTCTCCGGGGCTTTTGATGTCCATCCAAAACTAATACACGAGAGCAAATTGATTTATCACATTGACAATCAGGAATAAATTCGTGGTGTGACCAGAAGATACTAAAAATGTTGTATATCCAATCTAGATGTTCTTCAAGAAATTGTGCTTTTGCATTTATCATTCCACCACCTCTAACAGTATTTCGCGCTAAAAAAAAAAGAAACACATGCGTCGTTTAATGAATACTTATCCTCAGATTATTTTTATATTTTACTATTGTTTTAATAAAGAATGAGCAAAATTTTAATTTTCTTATCAATATTTAATAAAACGCATTGAGGAAATCTTGAAATTTTTTTTCAAATCTTACCAGAAAAAAGCGCTCTTGGTACAACAATTTGTTTTTCTGAGCTGGTCATAAAAATAAAATTGAATAATTCAAAATAAATCCAATTAGCTTCTAGGGAACGAGTTAATCCTATTGAATCAAATTTTTTATGAAGTTCAGGATGAAGACGAGCGACTTTAGATAATAAAGATGTACCAGCACCATTAAAACTAATATGACCATTTACAAGATCAGAAGAAAATGAAACAAGCAGCTCACGAGAAAATACTAGTTTGCCAGAAGATAAATGAAAATATTGATTTTTTTCAAGTGCTTCTGGAGTAACAATAAATTTTTGTTCATTATTACAATAAATTGATGAAACTCGATAACTTCGTTTACATTTTTTGCAATCAGCACTATACATTGTGCATGGTTGAATTGTTGTTGGATAAATGATAAAGGCAGTCATATGAAATTCAAGTCGAAGTTGATCACCACATTCAATACCATTTCGAATATTGTTACATTGTGTTCGAAATGGAAGAAGAGAGAGCATATTCAGATCTTTTATATATGAATGACCAGGATGAATAAGTTTAAAGCGATTAATTGCACCTTCTAAATCAATCCATACACCCATTTCCATTTTACTAATATCATTAGCATTAATAATATTACGGCAATGAAGAATTTGTTCTGGTGAGTATGATTCGTTAAGTTCATGTTGTATCAATGCACGAGCAAATTCATTTCGTTCCTTCATTAAAAATGATGTTCTTCTTGGCACTAAGTAAGCAGGCATATATTGTTCAAATGTAACGAGCAATCGTGCTGCTCTAAATGATAGAATATCGAGAAGATTTAAGAATCGTTGTTTGGTGTCGGTCATCTGCACTCTAAAGATTAAGAGAGATTCATCATTTTATTTTATTAAAATCAAAATCACATAGTTCTTAATAAAAAAAATTTCTATCAATTAAAATTTTTTTTATGATAAATTCTTCACATTTTTTTCAAAAAGCAAAAAATTCTTTTGTTAACGCTTTGGCTACAGACAATGAAGAGAAATAATTCATTTTGGTATTCCTTATTCTTCTGTATTGTATCTTTTGAACTTTTTTCTGATATATGTTCAATCTAAGCTTACAAAATTTCAAATAAAAGAAGAAAGGTAAACAATGAATTTAAAAAGAAAAATGATATAAGAAAAAGACAAATATATACAGAAAGACGCAGTTCATCACTTACTTTTAGAACAAAATATGATGAATATACATATAAGTATTGAAACAATACAAGATTTATGTAAGTATAAAAATGAGAAAATGTGAGAAACATGATGTGCATACTACAGAAAAAAAATTAAAGAAATACAAATACATCACCACATTTATGTCTGTGTAGAAAAAACAGCAAATAAAGAGAAACGAAAGAAAAAAAAACAGAGTTCAACGAAATATATTGTGAAATAGAAAACCAAACTAAAGAGTATACAAATTCCGAATTAGGCATTGGATGAAATAGACAAAAAGATATACAGAAGTACACAAGTAACATCATTGTTATATAACTAACGATTTGATGCCGTTCGAGAGGTTCGATCACCTCGTTTACTATTACTGGAAGTCACAACGTTCTTGTTGACTAATTGTTCAGCATTTTTCTGTTTGGCAACCACCTTCTGTTGTTTCTGTTTACGAAATAGATCAGTTTCTAATACAGATCAAAGAAGATAGCATAAAAGAAAATTAGGGACACACTTACCATGACTTGATGTGGTCTTTCTTTTTACTGCTGAAGATTTCACCACGTGTTCTGGATCGATTCGAAGATAAACTGAATAAAATGGATCAGATTGAAGCTTTTCAACAAAGGCTTGTGTAAACTTGTTTTTGTTTGTATTGATATTTAAAAGAGCAGGAACTGGTACACCATTCTTGTATCCAAACGGAACATGATTATTAAATGATTGTTTATATTCATCTACATCAATACCATATTTGTTAAGTGCTGAAATAAGTCGAGGATCTTCAGGTGAGTTTTTTAAAACAGCTTTTTCTTTCCCATTCAGAAATTCATCACCATTTAAAAAACAACCAATATCCAATAGTTTTTCAACACATTTGAGACGTGATGCATTAATCTCATCACTGCCTGTAACAGTCCGTGAGAGATCGCTCATGGAAGCCAAAATGTGTTTATTTAGAATTAATTTTTTCCAAATTGGATGATTATCATTTTCAACAACATTGGTGATTTCTAGCAAAAAAAAACATTAAAAAAAAGGTTAGAAAATATTGGCCGAAGAAATTTGAAACTACCTGATGTAGTAATGGATGAACGAATAGTTGATTTTGATGATGGTCGACGACCACGTTTCTTGACGGCTGCTGTAATAGAATTCTGCGTCTTTATAAACATCTCTCATGTATACATATCATCCTTTTACTGTATTATTCTCGATTTACAACATTACTCGTCTTAAAAATATCTGTGGATTTTTTTCCCTACAAAGCAATGGTTTCTGTGTGCTCCAACTCACTTGAAATGGCCAATTGAGCATCCACAAAGACATCAAGTTCATTAGAAATAACATTAATCATATTTTGGAGAACATCCACAATAACATCTACAATTAGATGCTCATTTAATCGTGTTTCATCTGTTTTTTTGTTTAAAAAAGCCTTATATATTCGTTTTTATAAGTTATAGATCTATTTACCATCAATGCACAGCTGGTTATCTTGATGATTCTGATGATGTTCAATAATATTTGCAACTAAAATAAACACTGTCAGTCATCAATTCGGAAAAAATGAAAAAAACAAAGTCGTTTGTTTAGTTCTTACAGAATCAATAGAGCATTCATAAATAGATAATTCATTTACGGAAAAAGTACCATGAAAACTGATCAAACGTTACTACCCCTCATTTATATTTAATTCACTGGGGTTGATGCGCCGCGTCCTCTATGCAAATTTTCAATTTTTAGCTCCATCTCTGTTATTCGATTTTCTGATCACTAGTGAATTTTTTTACATGTTATAACGAACTATATAACGAAGTCTTGAAAAAGAGTCAAAACATTTAGGAAGATACTCACGACTTGGACTTGTCGAACCAAGTTTAATTGTTGAACTATTTAATACTTCTATGATTTTATTAATCGAATTGCTCGACACGGGTTGCATTGGAAAAGATAAAACAGTTGATAATGATTGCATTGAACCATTTCGATTGATGGATGATGAAAGACAATCATTGCTAATTCCAGAAGATAAAATCATAATTCCTTCATCATCGAGTTGACGTGAATTTGATGTTACATGGTCAACTAGAAAACTCAAATGTGATTTATTAATTTTCTTCATAAACAAGAGCAGAAAAACGTACTCGGTAAAAGTGCTGGAAAAGAAGGTTCATCATTGATGTCAGTCGGTGTTGAATGAGATGGTGGATGAAAATTAGCATCTGAAAAAAAAAAGTTCTCACAATAAATAGAAAATGACCCAGTGTAAAAAATATATCTAAATTTCCAAACATCTGTAGACAATTCCGAGCTATATTATTGGTATCTAACTTCAATAACTTTTCTTTCAACAAAAAACACAAAGTCTTTGCTTGTTTATTAAAAGCAACAGTAATCTCCATACGTCAATGAGAACAGTATTCTTTTCGAAATTTCAAGCATTAGATCTTTCTTCATACTGGCAAGTGCTGAAATAGAATCAATCTCCATATATCTTCCTTTCTTTGTGAATCGAAGTTTAGAACTCAAAGAGTAATTCTTTCGAACCTTATAGGTTGAATAAACAGTAAGATATTGATTGATGAACCTAAGAACACTCGGTATTCAAAAATCTTCATTTATTTATATATTTTTTGTTTCTGGACTCTAGCTGTAGTAAATTTAGTTTTTAAACGAAACTTGTCATGAACTACTGTGTAAAAGTTTGTGAAACTTATTCTTCATTTGCTATATTCACATACTACCTCTTCTGTTATTTCTTTTCTTCGCTTTACTTTCTCTCTTGCATAAATGCTATATTCTTTTTATCAATAACTTTGATCTTCTATTCGTCAATTGTTTCTTTTCGTATCTGTATTAATTTTTTCTATATTTAATAAGTGGAATCTTCTGTAGTTTACGCATCATTGAAATTTTCTGATTCGATTAGACTAGAAGATGGATAACCGATTGTAAAGGGGTATGTCCAAAATTTTTGGAACGATTTTTGTAGGAAAAGTCATAATTTGCTTGATCTCTGCTTTAATAATCTTTCCATGATCAGTTCAAGAACCCCGTAAATTTATAAAAGGCGTAAGCTGACTCAAAGAATGGAGAATTTCGGAACTGCCTTCTTCAATGTTGTTTTGTCAACTAACTGAAGACATAAGTGAAAGAGAAAACGAAGAAGAAAAGCGGCATTGTTTTCCAAAGAACAAAGCATCTACAAAGTGACAAAATTAAATTAATATATATACCTTCATGAAAAATATTTACAACGTTTTCTGAACCGATGCATAATTCCATTCTTTTGCTAGTTTCAAATGTTTCAGATTCCATTTGTGGTTCATTTGTTATTGAACTCAGTGGAGCACGAGATAATGATGAAGCAAGAAGATTCGATATAGTTGAAACAATGTCTACAAAGCAAACATGTAAACTAGAGAAACAATAAGATAATCAATAAACAGACTTACTTTTATTTACATTATTAATGTGAAAATTTTCTTCAACTTGATCTTTATCTGATTCATCTAACATTAAAAAAAAAACTTATTTAATTATGTTAAATTACTCGACGAACTTATGTTATTTTTTTCACATTCGGATATAATATTGTTCATATTTAAATTATTTAAACCAAAACGACCATTGTATTCGATAATTTCATTCATTTTCTCTCTATTCTTAATCATTAATTTAGCCATCGGATCATTAAGAAATGTATGATAAAACTGTATCCAGTCATCACCTTTGATCAATTGAATACCATCATTGTTGAAGTAGGTATTTTTAGGTAATGATGAATTTTCGTAATTTTTTTTATATTCATTAAAATGAATACCTATATACTATCAATAAAAAAGATCATCTTAGTATTGTTTGCTTTTAACAGTCATTCATTGTTTTGAAGAAAAGTTTACTTTTGCTAATTAACCATTTTCTATTATCGTACACCAAAATTTATTTTATTTAAGGGTTTAGACAGACTATCTATGTATAAATTAAAGGATACAAAAATAGAAGACATACCTGAAGTTCTTTCATTCGTAATTCTGACTGTTCAAAGTAAGATGGTTGTTGTTTATAATAAGATGATGATAAATTGTTATTTTTTGGTGAACGAGTTCTTTGAATCACATCACATTTCACCACAAAACCTTTATTCACTAAATTTTCCACCACCACGTCGTACTTCAAATCAGTACTCCTTTTTTGCATAAATAAACCACTTCCACCTCGTGAAGAATTTGTTGATAAATAACCGTTTGTGAAGAATATTGTTGAAGTCATCAGAATTTTCACCATCGCATTATCCATTCGCTGTTGAGCCATTGATCTGAAAAAAAAATAAATTAGTGTTTTTGAATTTATGTATTGGATGATTGAGACAATCTATTCTCTTCTCCGTTCAAACTTTTTTTATTAAGAATTATCCATCTGAACTATGATCGATGACTAAATACTCTCTGTAAATAGCATTCTGGTGAAGCATGCCGTACTTTGTCGAAAATAGATCGGATATGTGAGGCTTGCCCGATCGTGCCTTAACAATCAGTTGAATTTGAGTTGTTGAAAATAAAATGGAAATTGTTTCTAGTTTCCATCGACACCATAAGTATCCAACTTCCACGTCATCGGATGTAAATGAAAGAACATTAATCTTCTTTTCTTCTACTTCAATTGTTCGAGTACATTGTTCGAAATATTCGTTAAATACTTGGTTTAATTTTTGGCAAAATGTATCAGGAATAAATTTTGATTGATACGATCGATTACCTTGTTGAGAATTAAGATAAAATAACATCTTATCACCCATCATACGAAAAAACAATCGAAGAACTTTAATTGTAGCTATGGCTTTTGGTAAATGGTAAGATATTTTGCGCCACATTTCACCAATATGTTTTTCCAAAGTAAATGATTCATTCCATATTTCATTAGTATAACGATTAGCCAATTCAAAAGGAGAAAACTGTTCTGATGAATCGTTTGTATTGCCACCAACAGGAGGTTGCCGTAATACTATATCATGTTCATCCATCGAAATACCATAAAATTCTGGTAAATTAACATTTTGTTGTCGTCGAGCATCTTGCATTCGATCACTAATATTATCTAAAAATTAACAAATAATTCGTATTCTACTTCATACACATTTGGAATAAGTGGAAGCTTAGTCTCTTGTATTGGTTCGCAATATTGCTACGATTACAAAAAGATGAAATAAAATAGCTTTCAAAATTTAGGTTTTTTTTTTTTTACTTTTTTCAAAGTACTCTTCTCATATTTCTATGGCTTGTCTATTAGAGAAAAGTTTATAATCAGAAAATTCGACTTACTTCGTTGTTGGTAATCAAAATCAGATCGAAACCAACCATATCGAAATTCAATGATTCGATTTTGAAAAAAATTATGACAACATAATGCAATGTGAGTAAAATTAGGTAAAGATACTTGTTTTTTCAATAAGATATCTGGTAATTCACGAACTGTACTGGAATGAGTATACCAAACTCTACCAAAAATACCATCATTTGCTCCTTCTTCCACCATTTTCATAATTGGAATAGATAATTTTCTTCCTGTACTAACTATATACATGGATAACTTCGATGGACGATGACGATCATTTGTAGATAATTCAACACCAGTAACACGACTACTACCAGGTTCAATACCATCGAATGCATTACAAAAACAACTAACCGCTTGAGCACCACCTGTATTGTTCTGTTCATAATATGAAAGAAGTTTCAAAGCACTATCACCATCTGGATTCACAATCATCACATCAGTGTAATTAGTATGTTTAGATAAAGCAGCTTCAGTAATACTACTTGCTAAAAAATTCCATTGTTCAATTTTTTGTTTCTTTTTTGGTTGTTCTTCAGTATCATCATTATCGTTTATTGCTCGACGATTGGAATAAATATTGGGATATTTGTCGTCGAGTGTTTTTAATGCATACGTTATTTCATTCGCAAAATAACTTTTGTTACTACCTAAATGTAAAGAGAGCAATTGTCAATTACATTTTTTTGCAAGCTTTCAATAGTTTACTAATCAAAACTCATATAAATCTGAATACTCATGTCCTTATTCTATTTTATTTTGGCGAAACTAGACTAAAATTGTCCAAAAAACGTTTTTTTTGATATCATCTGATAGGCTCTTCAAGAGCTATTCATTCATTATCGAAATGTTTCAATAAGAAGATCAGCAGTAGATAAATTTTCCATAAAAATCATATGTTGGTAATAATTAATTATTTATTGTATAAGATAGTCATCGCCATGGATGACAAACAAAGTAATAACTTGCTCTTTCTTATGTACTAAAATTACTCTCATATCATTCTGCATTTTTTCCTAATAATTGGACAATAAAAAGAAATAAAATTAAAATAATTAACAAATCGAAAATTTCTTTTTTTTCTCAGAATCATTAACCATCAACTTATAACTAGTATTTATAAAATAAAGAACTAAACATGACCTACTATTTATGAAAAACTCGCGAACCCTATGCAATGAGACTTACTAAGATATTGACAACCAATGAAAAAGAATAATCACTTATGAAAATTGAACTCTTTTATCTTTAACTACCAAAAAAAATAACAGTTCTCGATCTACCATATCAACTGAGGATGTTTTCTATCTAAGAAGTACTTGATTGATTTAAATGAGCTTCTACCTTCTACCATATTATCGTAGTGTATGCAGAAAAGAACTGACCTAAAGTTGAAAGTTCATTAGAGAAAGAGTATTCTAGATAAAAACATGCTACTAAAAAGAAACAAAATGTGGTTTGATATACTATTGGAAACTATGAACAAACCGTATCTGTAAACTAAAACTGAATCTGACATTTCTAAAACAGCCAGATCTCGTGTTTTGTTATGGAGATGATATCACTGAAGACTATGAAATCTATCAGAAATTTTTCTTTCGTTTTCTAAATTTAAACAAAAACAAATCTTTACTTACCAGTTGTACCAAGAACATGAGAAAAAATGTTGAGCCAAACAATCGAACCGGTCAACAAGTTTCGACAATAACTATTATTAGATAAACCACCGATCATAGTAAGAAGAGCATTCAATGTTTGTTCATTAGAACATCCCATTAACTCCATTTCGTTCAAATATTCGATAAGAAACCAATCTAGATTTTCATCCAACAGTAATTTGGCATCAAATGAAGGTCGATTATTCAACAAATCGAAATTAGCATCGAGTAACAATGAATAATCTTTGGGTGATGGCCCTAGATTATTAGCCATAATGAACCAAGTTTGTAGATAAAAAATTGTAAAACTAAATAAAATCTAAAAAAAATTAAGAAAGGCTTTTAAAAATTTTGGTAAAAGAAGCAACTGATGTTTTCTTGATTAGTAGAATAATGAATTAATAAAGAATTTCTTACTCGTCGCAACAACTGAGCAGAATCTTAAATGTCTAATTTTTTTCGGAAAGAAATGAGGAAAATGATAGTAGTATGTGTCGCTTCATATTCAACGCAAAAGTAGAAGACATCCAACAAGTAAAAAAAATGAATAGAAAAAGTTACTGGTCCTCAGGACAAGTATTGTATTCGAAGATCAGAATCAGTATTAAGAAATACAAGATATATTGTTAAGTATTAATTTTGAATGCTGCTAAGCTAATAAGCTGTGTAAGGATGTGAAAATGATCGACTGCGCATCAACTGTGAATAAATATATAGATGCAAAAGCACAGACGGACTATTCATCAAAATGAATTTATCTGGTATAATAGTTTCACTGTGAACAAAATACACAAGCGTAAACAAATTTTTATTTTTTTCTCTTCTTTCTCAGATACACTATTTATCGTAAACATAAAGGTACGGCCGTCCACCCTACATATTGTTGAGAAATCGATTATAAGAGAAACAATAGAGCGAATAGAAATGTCCTCGTCTATCTGTACGGTCATATAGCTATTCAACGTAGTTACATACAAATTAAAGGGAAAAGTAGCCATATTTTTTCTTTTAGTTCAGTATTAAATCTATTGTTCGTCGCGGTTGAAACAAACTATCTTATAATATTTAGTAAATAAACGTACATGGAAAAATTGAAAGAAATTAAATATGGAATCTATGGATCTTTGACCGATTATATTTACTATTTTTTGTCATATGATATTGGAAATTTAGAATGAAAATAGAATAACTAGCAAACATCAAAGGTGAAAATAATCTGCAAAAAGATTTTTTTTATAGAAGTCCTTTTTTATTATTATTTATTCTTTTTTCAGCACAGCATCTAATTGCATATACTGCTGAAGTTAGATTGAGTGCGAAACAGGCTGAAAGCATAGAATACAGTGGTTTTACGATAAGAGGATTGTTAAACAGAAACTATAATGCTTACTAAAACTTTAAATTGCAGAACTCTTTTTTAACTAAATTTTACTCTTTGTAAACGTTTTTTTTATTGTCAAATTAAAAGACAGCTAGCTATAAGGAATTTTCGTAAAATTATTATGGCTATCGTAATATATCTTTAGCATGAGACATATATGTTACCTCAAAATGAACTGACATAATCGTCACGGATATTAAAAATCTTAAACATAAAAGACTTTGCATACCGCAGCAATATTCATGAAATAGTTAACGATAAACAAAACGTGTTTGAAAAGATGTTCATATTATATCTAATACTTCTCTTTTTCACTTTTATTCATGAAACAGCAACATTTTTAATTCCAGGCATAGAAATACGGTTAATGTCATGCATTTCTTTGACGTGCCTAAATCCATACGCCCAGTATATCCAAACATTCCTGTTAAAGAACTCATAGACTATACATGTATCTATTGACAATCAAGTGTTTGTGAGACTCTCAACATGGTGTAGATAATACTGAATATGTTAGATAATAATGTTTATTATATAACACATAAACATATAACAACTAACAACGATTTTAATAATAACACAATAATAATAATATAGAAAAAAAAGATAATAATAAAAATGTAAACAAAAAAAACAATAAAGATTAATAACACAATAACAACAACAGAATGGGAGAGAAAAAAATCAATCACGAGATCGGCCATAACCCTGAGGTCAATAGAACAGTCAAAGAGAATTGAACAAACTGGTAATACACGATTATGAATTTAGCGACAATGAGCGCCATCTGTTGACACTAACAGTGTTTCTTTAGCAAAGAATATTTTCTCTTATGGCAATATATAACGGATGACCCATAATAAATGGCAGAACTTTGCATTCCATATTTTAATCCTTAAAAGCATGTGATTAAAAAAACAGAATATACCACAATATACGACGTGAAAATCTCCACAATCTACGAAGTAAAGCTTGTTTTAATTGTAAACTTTTTGTCTTCAAAAAAAAGCAAAACTCTGTACCACCAGTTATCACTGTTTGCAAAAAATCAATTTTTTTCTACACGAACGAGAATTCCTTTTTTTTTTATTTCATCTTTTTTATCATCTAATATATTTTCGTAAAAAAATAAAATATACCAAAGGATGCAGCGTGAAAAGCTTTACAATTTACAGAGCAAAGCTTATTATAATTGTTTTCCAGAAAAGCAAAAAGTGCACAATTAAAATAAGCTTTACTTTGCAGCTTGTAGAGCTTTTCACGCTGTATGTTGTGGTATATACGTTTTTTTTAATAACACGTTTTTAGGGATGAAAGTATGGAATGCAAAGTTCTGCCATTTATTATGGGTCACCCGTTGTATGATTCCATAATGATTTCAAACTGGTTTTTTTAGATTAAAGTTTCGTTCATGTGATGTGTTATGGTGATAATTAAATTAGAAAACTTTATTAACTTTATGCAATCTATTTCGAAGGAAAAGCGGTTCAATGAATCAAGAAAAGATCGTCTTGTAACTTAACAAAGCTGTTGCCAGAATATCCGTGGCCTCAGTATTATAATCCCGATTTCTCATAAGCTTGAGTTTTCAATATTTTACTCGAAAAAATAATGGTAAATACCAACGCAATCGATTTGGCATAGTCGAAGTATTTTTATTGTAATTACTTTCCGAAATTCTACATACTATGTTCACAATGAAAATGGAACACTTGATCCTAAAAAGATAATATAGCAATGCTGAGCAACATATTGAGAATCAGCAACAATTATAGTGTGTGCTGGGCGAAAATTTGGCATAAGATATTTAATAAAACGAATGCTGACGATGAAACTAAGGGAATATTATATGGTGTATTGAAAACGTCAATGTGAATTCATTCAGACTGACAAAAACTGCCATCACATTCATCACAACAAAAGTATACAGAAATTTAGTTCATTATGCTCAAAGAAAACTAAACCCCAAGACAAGAAGCATATTACAGAGTTCCTGAAAGAGGCACTCATCGAAATTGTGGAAAATTTATCAGAATATTACGTAAGTACTCTTCATGGATGAACATGTTAATTTCAAAATGAGTGTTGTGAATCATCTTTAATTATTAGCGTCAATGAATCAATGAATGACGAAAATCAGAATAAGACAAATCACTGATATGAATGCGCACCACAGTATTCAAATGCCAGAAAATTATGAGACTTGCTCACCAATATTCGCTGTTACTAGACTCAATTGCATCAGGCAAACAATGCAATCAGTCATAGCACCTTCCGATTGCAACTACTTGCTACCATCTTTATATAATCATAGAAAATTATATCAGTCAAAGAAACACCAGAAATGTGTCACAAATAAGTCAGAAGTCATTCTAGCCTTGTTCATGGTTATATTGCCATTTCATACACCACTATTTCCATTTACATTTCTCGCCAAATGCGCGCAAAATCTTCGCAACAGTTCCTTGTACAGGGCAAGAACTAGTGAATAAAATCAATCTGCGCTCGTCAAAGTCCTGCGAACTGCTGAAAAAATACACATTTCTCTTGCATCTAAAGAAAACACGCAACTGCTCATGATCTTTGAATATTGCACTAATGCTCGATCATTTCCTAACAAACTGTCTGAGTCATACCCTCCTATAAATATATTCTAATCTAAAACTTTCTGTAAACCAAAATATTCGTGTCCCTGGCAAACCAAACTCTACTTCGAATTACCATTCACATGTTTCCACCAGGCCACAAAAGAATCAACACAGCAACTGAGTAGAGAAACAAACCTCGCCCAATAAATATCCGCCAACCATTAGTATCACAAACAGAACCACTCTTCTCATCAGTCTTTACCCTATTCATCACACAACAACGTTTCTTAACGCAACACTTACCGACAATTATAAAACTATCGCACAAGCATAAGCTTCCTAACCGGATTCGCGACTCACAGCAGATCACAAGAAGTTCCACCATATCCGAAAAAAAACTCACATTAAAACTATCCTCAAGCTTCATCCGTTTCTCAAACAATCCACTATCCATCTGTCCTTTCAAGTCACCTACTCGCACGACTTCAGCCAGCATCTCGATATAAACAGAATTACAACAAAGAGAATCAAACGATATTGCATCCACCGCATTGAACTTCAAGGCCAACCACAAATAATACTACAATCAACCACGAATCAGTCGAAATACCCACTCAGCAATCACTAAAGAAATCAGACGTTTCCCAGATTCCGCGACATACCAACACGACAAAAGCAACCTACACATAAACTCACCGCTATCAAAAACACTTAATACCAAAACCAACTTCTCCTCCCGCATACTCAATCCAAGACGTAATACCACTCTATAAACATAAACAAATCGCCCTAAACCCGAATCCAGATTATCGCCAGACCATCATAATACGCGATACATGCTACGAACATCATTGTCACAATTCTTACGCCCCAAAACAACCGTATCCTCACAAACCAGGTGGAACTACAATGCATGTCGTCTTTGTAATTCCATCGACTAGCAAGACGCGCACCACATAAAAAAAAAGACGGGCATATACTACAGATATCATAAATATAATTCTAAAGGCCACCAAGACCCGCACGACCCGCACCATACAAAAAAAGGGGAATACATACTATGGATATCATCAATATAATTCTAAACACCCGCAACACCCACACCCTATAAAAAAAGGGGGTATATACTACAGACATGATGAATATAATTCTAAAGACCCGCAAGACCCCCACCCTATCAAAAAAAGAGGGGTATATACTACACATATCATGAATATAATTCAAAAGACCCGCAAGACCCGCACCCTATAAAAAAAGGGGGGTATATACTATAGATATGAGGCATAAAATTCTAAAGACCCGCAAGACCCGCACCCTATAAAAAAAGGAATGTATATACTATAGATATCATGAATATAATTCTAAAGACCCGCAAGACCCGCAAGACCCGCAAGACCCGCGAGACCCGCAAGACCCGCAAGACCCGCACTCTATAAAAAAGGGGGGTATATACTATGGATATCATGCATATAATTCTAAAGACCCGCAAGACCCGCACCCTATAAAAAAAGGCGGTATATACTATAGATATGATGAATATAATTCTAAAGACCCGCAAGACCCGCACTCTATAAAAAAAGGGGGTACACACTATAGATATTATGCATATAAATCTAAAGACCCGCAAGACCCGCACCCTATAAAAAAAGGGGGGTATATGCTATAGATATCATGAATATAATTCTAAAGACCCGCAAGACCCTCATTTCAATTTGAAATCGAGTGTCGTTTTTTTCTTCTAAATTCAGATTGAAATCAAAAGCACCATAGTATGCTGATAATGGTACTCATTTTACTTCTCAAGTTACGAACAAATTATTTGAAAATCTTGGAGTTACTCATTTATATTCTACGGTATATCATCCACAGACAAATGGACAAATCGAACGATTTAATGCGACAATGGATGGAAAAATTGCTGCATTATGCAACGAACGATGTACAAATTGGGATGAAGTCTTACAATTTGTTACATTTAACTATAATACGTCAATACATGCAACAACAAAACAAACACCTTTTGAAATGATGCATGGACGACAAGCCACTCTTCCATTCGATCAACAACATGAAATTATTTCGCTCACACAAGATCCAGAGCATAGTCGAAAAATTAGAACATATCTTGAAAAATTAGTTAATGAAGCGCGAAACAATATTATCAAAAATCAACAACAATATAAAGCTCGATATGATTTACATAGACAAGATTTATTATTAAAAGTTAATGATTTAGTGTTAATCAAAACAAGAAATGTTAGAAATAAATTTGACATACGATATGAAGGTCCATTTAAAATTATTAAACAACTAGGACATAAAACATTCATTGTTCAACATGTAAAAAAATTAACATTAACAAGACAAGTAACAATGGATGTTATCGTTCCTTTGGTGGAACGATGGAATTTAATTTAATAACACACATCCCAAAAGGGAGAGATGTGGGATATGATAGTATAACGTGTAAAGTATGTGCATCGATAAAAGAAAAATTTATATATATACATATATATACGCATATATTAAAAAATCTAATTTAAAAAAAAAAAAAAAAAAAAAAAAAACATTTTTTAAATATATATGCACGTATATATTACAAAATTATTAGTTAAATCAATTAAAAATGATTGAATTTGATTCAGCAGTCCATGCCGGGGAGACAGAATTTCACCTTCTCACTGACAAGGAGGGGCTGTCAAACTCAAAAATTCATTTAAATTGACTTTATTTCATGCATATTAGTCATCGGATCAATACATTATACGCGATGACTCATCCACCAATCACAATGCATTATAATTGAAGCACTTTTATAGTACTGGCCATACTGTACAGTGCGAACAATAATGCACGTGTTCCAGTTGGACGACTTTACTATTATCTGAACATTAACATGATATACATATATTCCACATCAAAAGGAAAGAAAAATTTTATATATGGATAACAATGGAACTGTCCTTATATACGAAGGAAAGGAAAATTTTATATATGGATAAAAAATCGAATATCTATATATACAAAGGAAAGAAAAATTGACCTTACGGACAATGACCTTAGTGAAGAAATATTTTATTACGACATTAAATTACAAATTACGTATTTTCATTTTAGTTATACATCATTTGATCTTTTCGATATACAAAACAAACATACATTTATTATAGTGATTTATTATGTCTGCCTTAACAAGAAATTCATCTAATCCACCACCATACTTCTATGATTTAAATCCACAACAACAAAAGAATTGGATGAAAACTACTCGTCGAATGGAAAAAAACGAAGAACTACGGGCAGAATATCCGCCTTTTCAATCACCATCAAATTTTACAATTATTCATCTTCACCATTATTCATCAATCGAAACAGTAGAAGAATTAATAATGATGGCAAAAACAACACATATATATACAATCGACACAGAATCACAAGTAATAAACAAGGTAGCACAAGGTGCTCTTGTACAAATTCAATTTATTCATTCAATTCACGAATCAACATTAATATTAATTGAAATGTTTTACTTACCAAATCAAAATTCATTGTTATTCAAGAAAATTAAAGAACTTTGTGCAATTATATTTCGTGAAGAAAATAAAAAAATTACCTGGGGACCATTCGACAATGAATTTAAAAATTTTCATTCATATGAATTATTTGAAAAAGGTAAGATTAAAAATACAATAAATTTACAGGATCATTTTAGTGATTGGTACAACAAACCTCCAAGTAACACGCATCCTGTAAAGGAAAGTCGTGAGGAGCAAACCACCTGGTCCTTACAAGATGCAGTTAGAATAGCTTTTCAACAATTCCTGGACAAGAACGAAACAGTTAACAAATGGTGTTGTGGATTAGACTTTAAACTCAATACATGGAAGAAAAAATTATTTAGTAAAAATCATTACAATGCAAATGAAGAACAAGAAAAACGTACGTTAATGATAAAATATGCTGTTGCCGATTGCACCGCCGTCACAAAACTTTATTTTATGATATATCCATCGGACTCAAGCATTCAAACAAGTTATGAAACACCAACACCAACAACAGCATCAACAAATATTATATTAAATATTGATGATTTATCCGATATTAGTGAAGAAGAACCTGAAATATTAATGCCAAGATTTGAAGAAGAACCTAAAATATTAATGCCACAATTTCATAAAGAACCTCGAATATTAATGCCATACTTTAATAAACCACCCCAAATATTAATACAAAAATTCGACGAACAAAATTATTTAGCAATTGAAACAACTGAAGAAGAAATGAACGAATTTAATGTTCAGGAACAACAACAAGAAACAAGAACAAAAACAAAATTATCAAAATCCGAAAAACAAAGAAAGAAAAATATGAAACTTAAATGGAAACAAAAACATCATCCAGAATTTCAACGCCGAATCAAACGCCCGATCTATTATAAGTATGATCACAGAAAGATCCGGGCTCAATTGAAGGACGACAATATTCATACAAGTCATCAAATTACGATCAATCGAAAGAAGAATGAAGCAACAATTGGCTTTAAATCAGAACAAGAACAAGAAAAAGCCAGAAAGATAATGAAAATTAATTATTTTTCAAGAAACCAATACGTCGAACGATGGGGGTAAGAAAATATTTTAAATTAAATTTAAAAAAAAATAAAAAAAAAAAAAAAAAAAATAATAATAATAAATAAATAAATAAAAAAGAAAAATAAACAAATAAAACAATTCCACCAACAATAAAAACAACGACAACGACAACGACAACAACAATTAGCGACAACAGCAACATCTATAAAAAAAAATGAACAATAATAACAAACCATCTCGACAATAATAACAACAACAAAACAATAAAAACAACAACCAGCAAGAATAACAAACAACAAAATCAACAACCAATCAAAACAACAAACAACTACCCCAATGACAACAACGAACACGATCACAATTTATTTTATTTAACCAAAATCCATTTCATCTATTATAATTAAATTTTACCAATCATTCAATTTCTTTCTATTCGACAACATCATCGGTATTATTATTATGATACATTCATTTCATCATCTACTTGTATGTTGAAGATTTAATTATTTCTGTTATTTATTTAAATATTTTATAAAACAATACAACAACAAATCATCACCATGAAATGTTTAAATAATACATATGTAATATTATGAAGCATTTATAATTACACATTATCAAAATTTTATACTGAATTATTAGAACAAATTTTAAATGTAACACCAACAATACCATTACTTATGATGAATATTATTGGTGAACAACAACATATAACAATGTCAGTTGAACAAAACAAACAATAAAAATAATAGCAGCAACATTACTCGCACATTGAATAGATTATCCTATATCACGAATTCTTTAATACAATTTCATCATATTAGAGAATTAATACGTTTTACTTGGTATGTTGCATCAGATTTAAAACAAAATTCATTTGAAACAAATTTAAAAAATTTCTTAATAATATTTAATTAAAATTCGCATGTTTAATTATGAAATAATACATGCGTGTTTGTGTTCAACATTTGATCCACAAATAATGTATCAATTATATTTATGTTATCAAATTAAACGATTAATACTTGAATTAAAATGTAATACAATTGATCAAAGATTTTTTTCCTCTGCTAAATGTTTATCAAAATATCCAACGAGCTATACACATATTGATATTGTTAAATCTAGATATTATTCAAGTTATCTTAATACATTTGGTGATATATTTGATATTCATACGTCAATTGATAAAGCTAATGAAGAAGAATTAGATATAAATGATCATTGCTATAATTTTATAAATATAAAAGATATTGATCAATATGTTTTTGAAACTCAATCAAAAGAAAAATTACGTTTATGATCCAGATCATTTTAACATACTATAATAGTACAAATACCTCAACTGAACATTACAACAAATGCACTTATACTATGATCAACAACATTAGATACACCGGAAGATGATGATAATCTATAAAATCGTATTTGATTTATGAAAAAACAAAAGTCATTCCAATCATGAACTTATGGATATGTGAGGACACACATCATATAGGGAGAGGAGGACTGTTAGCGGTGACTCATCCTTATTGCTGTCTTTGCCTTCTCTCTATCTCTGTGTTATTGTTATTCTTTTCTTTTTTTCTCTCTCTCTCTCTTCTCTATGGTAGCTTGTTATATATATGTACGTAATTTCAAGGACATTTTAGAATAAAATAAAGTAAACAAGTATAAGCTCGTGAAACGAGCTAACACACCCCAATAGCGCCAGCGTGATTCTACATTCACCCCAAATGGGGTGAATGTAGAATCGAAAAGTAGCTCTCAAAGAACACCTTGTAGATAGCGATACCTACAAGATTTTGAGAAACGGATTTCACCAATCGATAGAGGAGAGATTCAGCTAGGTGACTTGTGAAGAAAGTTTTTCAAAAAAATGAAAAATAAAAAAGTTATAAGCAATGTGCGTGAGCTCATTAATTTTTTGTCTACATTTACCCCACCCTACCCTATATTAAATCTAATCATTATATAAGAGACAGGAAAAGTTGTCTACCTTTCAGATCATTGTCTATCTTTTTTTTAACAAGTTTTTTTTTTCGATTATTCACTAATAGATAAAAACCTACGGTATAGAAATGTTACCATAATGAGTGATGATACCTGTAGGAATCCAGAACGAGGCTTTTTAGAAAATCTATTGATCAAGATGAGAAAGTCAATGAAGAGACAATGAGAGAGGTCTATGGTCCGCTGAAACAAATTGTCAAGTCGAAAAACAATCTGGATCCGATAATGATATATGACAACGGATAGTAACGCATGTTTACCTCGAAGAATATTGCAATGCTCAGATCACCTTTTTCGTTCCATCATTCAATATTCATTTTCTCTGACTCTTTCAATTCTTTAACTAGCTATATTAGGTTAAATTTCATGGTTAACTATCAACTACAATTATATACGATAACCTTTCTACTATCGATCCTTTTCCCTATGTAAACGACAATATGGATAGCAGAAACCATGGATAACAAAATAGAACATGGAAAATACCATCCTATATTCGACTTTTTTCTCCGACCTAATATCAATTTCTAGAAAAACTAAGCGAGTCCTCACTAGAAAATCTATAGAATAAATAGAAGCAGCTGCTACTACTCTTACATAAAATAGTCTCAAAAATCTTCGTGTATCTCCTTTTTATCTTTCAGTTGAACAGTCTAGTTATCATTTTTCGTCAAATTGAATTCATTGGAGTGTATCATCGAAGATCTCAAGGTTTTTCTCTCCATCTACGTCTAGAAACTTTCGAGAAAAAAAAAAATCCGTTTCCTATAGACGCAAACAAGACTATTTAACGGTTCGACTGTTCTAGTGTCTCTTACATCGACACAATGCTCTTTTACGCACTAACTCAGAATATAATCCTAGTTGAGAATGTGATATGGATATCTAAAAGCAGATTTCTGACCAGAATCGTCAGTTTTTTGAAAACCATCTGAAACTTTCTTATAGAAAATTTCAAATATACATATCTACTCTGTTTGTCTCGAAAAAAACCTCGAATCACTCCTAAGATATAAATCTATATCTTAATAAAATGTCACCGGTCACGCTACGACAAGGCATACATTACACATATATCGAAAAGTTCAAACTTCAATTCAATTGAGTTCTCAACTCTCTACTTTCAACTTTCAAGTTCCTAGGAGTTTCGACAGGAACAGCTGACCCAGAAACTCACGCACACATCATCGCAGCTACTGTGGGTGCCGCGAAAGAACTGGTCACACTACGACCAGATCACATTGCAGCTGGTGTGGATGCCGCGATGAGACTGATAGAGTCTCACTTTTAAGGTCATGCGTGTGAAGAGTGAAAATTGAAGTGAACTATTCAGTAATCCGATGAATAGTCACTTGAATGGTAAGAATTTTTTGCCGCCGAATTAACCTTTTATATGAGAGACGCGGCGCATATGATGTCTTCGAATAGTTTGCGCGGAAAGTGAATTAAAGATCGAGAAAGAAGATATTCGAGATGTTAGAGATGCAGGAGATATTGATTAATCAGTGCAGATTATCTTAATATAGTGGTTGAGTTTGAATACTGATCCATTGAGATTTATTGATTCAACTTTCCGATGGTTACTCGAAAAAATATCCTATATTTATATATATCCTCTGTCGATATTTAATTCAGTTTCGGCGGAAGTTTTTCGAAGACATCTTTTTTTTGGTTTTTTTTGTAGTATGTTGATAGAATAATCACGTTTTCAACGTAGGAGAAAAACGCAATTCTTTGAAAAGGTTTCACTAAAAGCTTGAGAAAAGTGGTTAGAAAAATGTTTTTATCTATGGTTCGATGGATATTGGTCTGCTCTTTTCAACGGTGAAAATGACAGATCTCTATCTCCTGCCTATGAAAATCTATTCGAAAACTCTCGACGGACATAAGATTATGTGGAAAAGATAATATCTATAGATAATTGACTGTCAGAAAAAAACTCCTACCACTTCGATTTTTATCTTTCGACCAGCTCGGGTTTATTTGTTTGGGTAGATTCCTCTCTATTTTATAAGATTTTTTTAAGACGTTTTCACATTGATTATTTTTTTTAAATTTCCTAATAGAACGATTGATTTTTCAAGTAAAATACATGAGATATGATTTTTAAAAAAGTATTGAACAATCGAAAAAATGTCGTTGAATTGATTTAAGAATGAATGAAAAAATGATTGTTAAATGTTGAAAATCGAAATTATTCGAAATAGATCGTTTGTTTATTGTTGATTGTCGAATAAGATGAATTAATATTAGTTATCGATCATTATCTTTTTTCAATTTAATAACGATTTTGTTATCTTATAGAATAAATGTTTTCTTTTCTATGATGAATTATTCTAGATTCTATTATAATCTTAATCGAATAAATCTCATTTTCTTTTAGTTATTAATTCAAATAAAATCATATATTATATTAGTTCTTATATTTGAAATTATTGTTTTAGTCATTTATCAATATCATCTTTTATTGATTATTAAACAATTATTAAAAAAAAGAGTTGCACTCGAGAATAACTGATATCTTATGTTTTTATCAATATAGGATTCAAATATTTCAAGAAAGTTTATTTTTTATTTTGTTTTTAATTATGTTGAATAATCATTCGGCTTGGTTTTAATATCTAGAGATAAAACGATAATGATAAGATGAGAAGCCGATGTTTATTTATATTCTCGAATATCTTAGAAAACGTTCCTATAGGAACGAAACAAATTGACTAAAATTCAAACGCCTTTTATTCTATATATTTTTTTTTCAATAAAAATCTCCTAAATAATATCGTTGAATTGATATTAGATTAGTCTAAAAATGGTTGTTACTATATAAATATTCTCTTGAATAATCGTTTTCGTTCCCGTTTTTGTTCTTCATAAGTTTTATTCGATTGGTTTGCAAGTGTCCCTGGAATTGCTCAATTTCTTAGATATGAATGCGACTAAAAAATTAATACGATTAAGTTTTTCAGGCTAGTTATACAGAATATAACAATTAATAAATAAATAGTGTCGGTTTTTGCTTATAGAGCGAATATATATATATTTAAGGCCTTCAATGTTATTGTCAATATTAATTGTGAAATGGTTTAGTTTATATATTCTTAAAAGAATTAATAATAGTAGATAAATTGTATTACTTCAAACAGATATAAAGTATTCGATGATCTACTTATAATTTTCTGTAAAATAGAAAATAAGGATGATTATTCTCTATTAAACATTATCGAACGTTTTACTTAATCATATTTTATAATTGTCTATAATTTAATCGATAAATAAATTTAGTTTAAAAATGGTCCCTCTTCAATTTTCAGTATAAAAAAAATCGATCAATTTGTTATATAATACGCGATGCACCAAACTCGAACCGTTCAGCGTGACACGACATTTCCGCGCGCGACATTTCCGCGCCGACACTTCCGCGCCGACATTTCTGCGCAGCGACATTTCCGCTCTTGACACCACCGCGCGAGATGAAGTTTTCTGTTTTTTCTGCTTTAGATTAATGCATATTCTAAACTTCCATTAATAGATTTGTGAGTCTGGGTTTCGGCGCGGAGTGTGTGTAGATGCGGAGTATGAGTAGGGTAGTTCGGTAAAAGTTCGGCACTGATGAACTGCTTGTAAAAGTGATCTGATCTGATCTTTTTTGACAGTTCAGCGCAGATGAAATGAACTGTTCAAAGAGTTCTTCCGACCTTAGGTGAACTGCTCAAGCAGTTCTGCTCAGATCGACACCTAATTGAGCAAGTCATCTGATGAGCCTCACGTGTTCCGAAAGATAGATTGTTTTTTATGGAAAACTAGGATGCTGACACTAACACTTGGGATACTAGAAGCATCATTGAGCCGCTAGAGACATCGCGCGGATTGCTAATAGTATTACCTAGAATGCTAGAAGCATCACAGGGATGCTGGAAGCCTCTCTTGGGTTACTATAGGCATAACCTCGAATAACACAGGCATCACTTGGGCTGTTCGCAGCGGCGTAAGTAATATCCCTTACTTTCCATGGGACACTTATAGCAATCACATGCAATATAATCAGCATCCCAGGTGATGAGCTTAATAGCCTAGGTGATGTCTCTAGCATCCCACTGATGCGGATAGCATCTTATGTAATGCTACTGGCATAGTAGGTGATACTTCTGGCATTCCAGATATTGATGCACTGTGGGTGTGGACTCGGCCTGTGAAGTGTGCGTGTGACTTGATGTGAATGTGCGCTCATATGTGGATCTGGGATTCGGATGTGGTTTCTGGAGTGAATTTGAATGTTGGGATGTGATTGTTGGCATTAGAGTCCCAGTTGCCTTCGTTCCATTCCAACACACACCGAAACTCTGCAGCCGCACCAACAGAATAGTTAATAGAATTTTAGAAGATGTATTAACGTAGCATAGAAAAAATAGAAAACTTTATTTAGCGCGGAAGTGTCGCGCGCGGTGGTGTCGCTGCGCGGAAGTGTCGTGCGCGGAAATGTCGGCGCGGAAGTGTCGGAGCGGAAATGTCGCGCTTAAATACATTGTTGAGTAATACATTGAATAAATTGAATTAACTAAGATAAAACTAATGAAATAGTTGTCAATAAATAAACGAAAATCTCAATGTTTTATATTATATTACTGAATGATCAGATTTTAAATTGACTTATTTTATCAATAGTACAATTCTCCTATTGTTTTTTTTCCAAGAGAAAAATCCCTAAGGAGGAAACCTCGCGAACTATCTAGATCCTACTGAAACCAGAAAAAGCCTAGAATGATTTGTGCCGATTGCTCTTTCCTTTCGAGTTTCGAGTTTTTGCTGATATAAAGGTCTGATATTAGTTCGAATCTATCGAAAGTTTCAGCGGAACCGAGCTTTTCGTTCCCTAGATAATGGTCTTCTAAAACAAAAGCAGATATTTTAACCGAAGAGTCAACAGAAGATCAGCCTTTTTGAAAAGGCATTATCTTCGGAATGAAACGGTTTGTTTCGGTGAAACTTTTGGTACATACGAACTATAATGAGACCTTTCTATGAGCAAAATAAAATGACTGTAACTCGAAAGGTAAAGAGCAATGATCAGGAATGATTCTAGCCATTTTCTAGTCTCAGTAGGAACTAGATAATGAGCGAAATCTCAGTTAAAAAACAATTTATTAGTCTTACGAGGTTCCCTCGTAAGAGATGTTTTATTTAATGATGTTTATATTTATTTATTTATATGAAAATTTAATATATGATGATTATTAAAAGAAAACAATTATCTAATTATCTTGTGCTTAATGATTATTAATATTATCTGAATAAAACTAATCAAAAAAAAAAAAATTCTTATTAGAATCCGTCAATTTTTATTAAAAAGAGAAAAAGAAAGAAAGTTTTGCAATAAATTATTTGATATTCTATAGAGATATATTATAATTATATAAAAAAAAAAAAAAAAAAACTTGAAATAAAAAGGATAAATTATTTCTTATTTGGTATGAAATAAATCGAAGTAAATTATTTAATTATGTTATTAAGGTAAGGCGTCATGTGAGTAAATAATGGTGTTGAATAATTGATAAAAGATTGTTTTAGTTTATTTAAATAATAATCAATAACGATAATTTTATTCTTTACGATATATATTAAAAGTAAAAAAGTATACATAAAATAATGCCTAAAACAAAACATAACAGAAAAGAAATTTGTCTAATTAATTAAAAAAATAAATTCGACCTGCATTTATATATTCTAAAATAGTTAACATATTATAAATATAATTTAGAATAAATATTTCAAATGATCATTTTTAAATATATTCTGTTAGACCACTATTTAATAAATAAAAGCTTATTGGTTATTATCATAGAACGATAAACTATTCTTGTTTTTTGTGTACTCAAAAAGTGAGTACACTCTAGAATCGGTCAGTGTGTCCGTCCGTCCGTCCGTCCGTATACACGATAATTTTTGAAAGGAGAGTCAGATTACGATGAAATTTTCTACACAGTTTAGTCTTAACAATGTCTCGGTCGAGTTCGAAGATGAGCATGATCGGCCGAGCCATTCGTGAGTTATTGCAAAAACAGTCATTTTTCCCTATGGCTTCCTATGCGAAAATCGACCCATCCCATCTTTCGTAAACAACTTTTCCCATCATAGTCAAATAAAACCCCAACTATTATATACCATTCGATAGAGAATTTCACGAGCTACAAAATGGTATATAAAACATAAAGAAACAAGAAGGTTGACTCACCTGTCACAAAGATAATTAAAGAGAACTAGGTTATGTTTTTGTCCACGATCTAATTGATCCACGTTTAGAGCTCTATCTTCCGATCACAGTGATGATGCTTCGAGGTTTTCTGGGGTGGAGAACTCGAATCTGTACTCCACTTCCATCGAAATACTATTGGTTAAGCAGTGACCAATAGAAATCAAGTTATAGGAAAAACGACTTTCTTAGGGTAAATCAAGGGAAAGAGTTCAAATTTGAGCTGTATTCACCTCCAAATCCTATTGGTTGAGCAGTAGCCAATAGAAATCAAGTGTTTATAGACAAGGTTTGCCAGGATAATTTTTATGTCCCCACATTCTGGGATGACTGATTCGTATGATTCACTTTTTTGTGTACTCAAAAAGTGCGTACACTCTAGAATCGGTCAGTGTGTCCGTCCGTTTACACGATAACTCTTCACAATTACATTCGATTGAGTTGAAATTTTGTACACAGAATTGTCTCATCAATATCTCGGTCGAGTTCGAAAATGAGAAGGATATGGCTAGAAATGGCTGAGTTACCGAAAAAATTGTCATTATTGACCAGACCATCCTTGAGCGGGGGAAGGGGGTACAGGGATTTTTTCAGAAAAAATATTTTGCTCATAATTATTCACAACATATATAAATCGACTCCGTTTTTAATGCTGATTCCGAATCCGATATTACTTTTGAACCAAATCGTAGTTTTCTAACAAAACATTGCCCGAAAACGGTCTCAAAATGTACAAAAACCGCATCCAGAAACCAAATTGCCTAGATATGTCTCAGATGACCAGTAGTTTTGGGGTTTCCCAAATGCCTGGTTTTGTAGATAGTCAAAAGGACTATCGAAAGGTAAAAATCCGAACTCGATAGCTATTAATATTGGTGATTTATTATGAAAATACTGATGCCTGTATCTATCATATATCTCTTATAAATTCATGAGGTTGCTTACGATCGTCATCCCGCTAAATACAAAGACAAATCCACTCAAAAATAACTCTTCTTATCCAGTTTTCCAAGCTGAACACGAATCTGAACTCAATTTTTGTGATTTCTAAAGATACTATATCAATCTGAGAGTAGAGTCAGTGGTCACTGGATAGGGTCGCATACAGTGTGGTCCATGCTAACTTAGCACGCCTGTGTTTTCTCCTTGCAATTTTAGTGACAAGGGATGTATCTTGATGAGATCTATGTTTCATAGAAAAAAATAAATACAGAGCCTAGTGCACCGCGTAAGAAAAGTCCAAAATACCGACCCTCGGAGTATGCTATTTCCTTGAATTTACGCAGTTTTTGGCTTATATCACGTTTTTATCTCATAACTTACTGACTTGAGTGTAGTGAATTTATAGATTAAACTGTTTCTGTCCAATTGAGACCTTCTTTAGCTCAAAGGGCCAAACCGTTCACGAGACAAGGTTAAAATGCTGAGCATACACTCAAGATAGTTAATTTTTATAATTAAACTGTCTAAAATATTCATCCTTGAGCGCACTAAGGAACTGCCCCTTAGGCCCTGCGGATGCCCTCTTTTTGTCCCGTAGAACGTGGCGAGGAGTTAGTTCCGAAAGTTTTATTCATTCGCATAAACTTCTTTGCTTTAGCTGAATCGTGTTTCTTTTTATAAACTCATGTTAATTATGTCAAAGTGCGGTACAAATTGTTGAGGATTATCTCGAAAAGGTAAAAGAGCATCATAATGACTACCATTATAGTAAATACAAAGTCCTAGTTTATTCATATCGGATTTGTATCCTATATATTTCAGATGACCACCTGCTGTTCCTTTAATAAATCGATCGACTAGTTCCTGTAAACTAATATTCGATGAAATATAATGTCTATTTTTTGGATCGCTGTTAAACTGAATATATGAATAGATAGGATGAGATAGAGCCATAGAAAGCGCTTGAATTTGAACTTCTCCACCCCATATTGTATCCATAGCGGTTCTTTTCAACTGTTCCTCAAATGAATACTGCAATACTTTACAAAGTGTTTGGAAATAATCGCTATTATTGATCATTGAATTGACTGCCAACAATCTCATCGAATGTGTTAGTTTTTCAGATCCAATATTTATTATCGAAAGAGAACTATATAAACAATTACCATCTGCAGTCGTGCAAGTTCTAGCATAAACAGAATCGAACGCTTGAACAGAATATTCTGTTTTCGATTTTAACCGGACGGATTGGTCTTTATTATTCATAGTTATAAATGGTGATTTTTCAATTAAATCATTAATTATTTGAGCTTGACTTGAAATTTGATTAGTCTCTGTAGTATTATTAAAATCAAGTGCAAAAAGAAAGTGATCCAAAATCTTCCTTGAGTTTGAATCAATGATTTCATAGTTTTCGGAAGAAGATTTTTCTTCAATATCCATCATGTCAGATGGATCATTAACTTTGAGATCTTCCAAATGGAAAGACATATCTAAGTCAATTTGTTCGTTTTTATCGACTGTTTCATAACATTCAAAAATGAATTTCTCATCGACTTCCATCGTGTCAGATTGATCATCAGTTATAACATCTTCAATATTAAAAGGTATATTTGTACGAATGTCTTCGGTTTCATCAAAATGAAACTTAGTCAAAACTTTATGTTTTCTTATCCATATTGGTTTATGAAAACTTGTAAGACTTTCAAAATAATCAGATTTTAAGTCTTTCACATTAGTGAAGCAATAGTCAATCTGCGTTTTTGCATTAGTTGAATCTCTATTTAGTGTATTATTCAAACTAAGTCCGAATGATTCCATATATTCAATAAATTTGTTATTGATTTTGATCTTCAAATTTATATTAAAATCACCAACGACAATTATATTTTCACAAAATCCTTTTGAAATAGTTATAACTTCATTAATATGTCGTTTTAAGATATCGAATGATGAATTCGGTGAATTGTAAACGGAAATTATACAAATATCATCAATTTTTATTGAAGAATATTCAATATGGTTTTTGCCTGAATATTCATATCTTTCGGTGATATTTTCGTACTTCAAATCATTTTTCAAATAAATGATTTGACCAAATGGTTTTCGTACATCATCACAATCACGTCTGTGAACTATCTTGAAACCTTCAATTTCCAAGTTGTCACTTGGTTTTGTCCATGTTTCAACAAGACTTATCATGGAAGAAGGCAAAAATGTTTTGTCACACTTAATATCTGAAATATGTTTATTCAATGATTGTATATTATGAAACATAATAGAAAATCTTTCTTCTTGAGATTCTTCAGGAAATTCAAGTGAAAATTTCAGTATTCGCTCAGATCTCATGTTTTTGAACATCATCGCCACTGCATCATTACGTTCAGGTGGTTTTGGTGGAACGAAGTCTCCAATTAAGTATAAACCACTTGCTTTTGTTGCACGACTACAAGCAACATATAATTCAGATCTTGTCATTCCCTTCTTCAAATTGACAACAACCTTCTCGTAAGTACCGCCTTGACTTTTGTATATGGTCATAGCTTCACAAGGTACTATTGGAAACTGCTTCCGTTCTACTTTGAAGTTTGTTGACTTCGTATTTATTTGACGTATTACTGGTTCGATTGGTGTAAGACTAGAATCAATATTTCTATTACGCATTACATTGTGAAAATTGGCTCTAGCTTTTCTTCCAGTTTTTTCTTCATTGAATTTAATCCATATTCTACATGGTACTGTTTCATTAGTTTTTTGAAGTTTTCCGTAATCAATCATTACTAATTTTCCACAAGCACCATTGACTAATCCATCTTCAGTATCAGAATTGACTGTCAACATATACTTAGCGCCCACTTTCAAATCGATTTTAAGTGGTAAGCCATAAGTTTCAGTTGTTTTGAGATTCTTTACGTTGTTCAACACTTTTTCTTTTAATGATGCAAGTCCATCACCAATACAAAAGTCATATGCATTGGCAGTTGCACCTTCAGTATTAAGATTAGCCAATACTTTTGTATTGTATGCATCAACTTCAGCATTGCTTCTGAATATTCTTATGGCATCTTCAATCGTTTCCAAATTTTCAGTTGAAACAATTCGTGACTTTAACAGATGAATATCTTCATCTGTCATTGTTCCTTTAGCTATATTACTTAATGCAATGGCAAAAGTCTTATCATCCTTTTGTCTCATAATTTCTGTTAATTCAAACAATTCAAATAATGACCATAATGGACTATCTACTAAAGCATTATATGAATTATTAAACTGGAATATGTATTTATCACCAACTGGTCTTAATTGATTGAAATCGCCTAAAACTATGACTGATATTCCACCAAATGGTTTCTTTGTTCTCATTATTTGCTGCAAACGTGCATCGACTTGTTGAAGCATTGTAAAACCAACCATTGATATTTCGTCTATTATTAATAATTGTAAGTCTTTTAATTTGACTCCAATTCTATTCGAAACATCGCTATTTAGTTGAACAAGCTTATGTTTGCATTGATTTACTGGTAAACTTAAAAATGAATGCAAAGTCATTCCATCAATTAATGCTGCTGCTTTGCCAGTTGGTGCACATAGTGCAGCCCGAATACTATCTGGATAATATCCTGGAAGTGAATTATAAAATCTTAGTATTGATTGATACACTGCTTTGATTAGAGTGCTTTTGCCAACACCTGCACCTCCATTGATGAAATGAAAAAATTGATTTTCACCATTTTTAATCAAATTCATTACGTTTAGAGTATATTTCCTTTGATTACTATTAAGATTTCTCATCATTTGTTGATATTCTGTGTCTGGTATTATTTTGGGAACATTAAAGTGTTCGACTTTTTCAGTTCGAGTATTTATTCCCATTTCAACAAAAATATCACCTTCAGTATTTCCTATTTCATAAATGAGAAATTCATTTTTATCTTGATCGTATTCAATATTTGCATCATCAATATCATCTTCATCTTCTTTTTTTTCCATATGTTCTTCTAAAGCTTGTTCGAATTCATTAGCTTCACGATGAATATATTCAGATCTTTTTTGTTGAATTATATCTTTATACAATTCAAATCTCTCTTCATGGTTTATATGAATAAGATCTTCTTCTTCATTAGTCCATGGTAGAAATAGCATTAGCTGCTCTCTATAATAGTTTTCAGGATCTTGATGTAGTTTAAAGTATCTGTATCTTATGATTTTTTTCTTTGTCCTTTTTTTAATCCAACCCTTACCATTTTCCATTTTCATAGGAGCAATTTTATTATCACTTTCATTTTCAGTGATATCTTCGTCATCAGAATTTTCTATAATTCGATCATTATCTGTTTTTTTCTTTGAAATATTATACATCGAAGCAAAATCAGCCAGACAAACATTTTTCATTTCGTCAGGTCTATTAACATACATCTCAATTAAGCCCTCAACAAACACATCTTTTGAATCAGGCTCCAATTTTTGAAGAATTTCATCTGATTTGAGCATAGAAATTCTATTTTCAGGTCTGTTTGTATTAATAAAAACAGTACTTCTGCTACTAATGGAAAGTGGAATACTTAAAATATGATAAACAGCTTCTTGTGCAGAAATTTCACTTGAATTCAAAAATTTATTTGCAATAACTCTAAGACGTTCTCTGACTGTGTTATTGCCTTTTTTTAACTCGTTCAATGCTTCTCGTAGAAGTTTAGACATGCCATTTTCAGATTTGTTGATGTATTCAACACAGTACTTTAAGCATGCATAAGGATCAAGAATGAATTGAATGTCCATATTTGCTCTGTGTAATGACATTATTTGTGGATTATATGCATTGATTCGGATTTCATTTGGAGCACGTTTCAAGAAGACCTTTGCTTTTTTTAAGTCAGCTCGAATCATTTTAATATATTCTTTTTCATTCATATTAATATGTATCAAAAATTCATCAAAAGTTAATGAATTATCGATATCTTTTGATATCTTTTCAAGTTCTTTCATTACGTTCTCCTTCTTTTTACTTATTTCTTCACGTTCTTTTTTAGTTAACTTTTCGTCGTCACTAAATGGTTCCAAAATCATAGTTTCTCTCATCGGAAAATATGGAATACCAAAACGACATTTAATACAACCGTTCACATATTTTTTACAGGTATGTGAATGTTTATGACGTTGCAAACTTATAAGTTCTTCAGAAAATTGTGTTGGTTTCGAACTAACTGAAATCAGTTTATCAATAAATTCTATACATTCTTTAATTGATTCAGGTTTATTTTTGTCGTATTTTGGAGCATTTTTTAACCATATCAAGGCATGAACATGTGGTGAACCACGAGCTTGAAATTCAATTCTGACATATTTGTCTTCTAGTTCGTAGCCTTGAAATGGACCAGAAGGAGCGGATAATATTTCCCATAGACATTTTACTCTATGTTCAAAATAACGAACACATGTTACAGGATCTTTTCTTATCAAATCACACTTCTTTTCATAGCTCATATTCTCTGCTTCTTCTAATGTTATGACTTTATTTTCCAACACTTTAGCCAATATTACAATAAGTTCTGACCACTTTGTTTCTGCTGCTGATAAAGTCAAAAAGATTGTAGCACAACTAGTGCCCGGCGTGACCAAAAAGTCGTGACCAAAGAAAAAAAAAGTTTTTCGATTATAGTTTCAATAGTACATGTGAGAACCGAAGCCTATTTATCTATTCTTGTTCAGAATTTTTTTCTCTTCAAAATGGTATATAAAACTCAAAGAATTCGATGATCCATAACAGAGAAAATTGCATCACATTAGTCGTGACCAGAAAATGTCGTGACTGACCGTGACCAAAACTGGTCACGACTAATGTGATGCAATTTTCTCTGTTATGGATCATCGAATTCTTTGAGTTTTATATACCATTTTGAAGAGAATAAAATTCTGAACAAGAATAGATAAATAGGCTTCAGTTCTCACATGTACTATTGAAACTATAATCAAAAAACTTTTTTTTTCTTTGGTCACGACTTTTTGGTCACGCCGGGCACTAAGCACAACCTAATTGCCTGTTCATGGCCATAAGTTCCTTTTTTTTCAGTTCCCAGAATGCTGGTGATGATCGATCACATCTCAAGAATGTGAAAGCGTCATCATTATGTATTAATCCATTGACATAATCTCGATTGAGCATTCGTGCAACAGTTACATTTTTTGTATTTTTTGTTTTTCTTAGAGTTATTGAAATAGCATCTGAAAACTTTCTCGTTTGCAATTTCTTATAGGTAAAAAATAGTTTCGATATTCTACCACATCTTCGATCGAACATTCTTAATTCTGACTTACCAATTTTAGCGTAAGTCAATTTAACATTTTCTTTGATTTTTCTTTGTTTACCACAATAAATTTTTGGAAATGTTAATTCATCAACTTTCATATCCATCAAAATTGATATTGGTCTATTATTCTCTGCTGGAGCAAATTTAATACCGATATCATTCTGATCTTCAATCTCATCATTTAATAATGTTTCAGTAGCTACTGGATTGATTGGTTTATCATCGGATTCATTCCAATTGGCATCATTATCATCAAATTCTGATTCCTTCATGATTTCATTCGCGTCAATTTTTTTATCTTCATCTTTAATAATGAAATTTTCTCGTTCATTAGAATACTCATTCAACCAATCATCGGATATAATGATACCTTCGCCTTTATATAGTTCCTGTTGGACAAGATATTTAACAGCTGTATGTACAACTTTTGGTCGAATTGTTTCATACATAAAGGCGTTTTTATTTTTCATTTGTCTCATGAGTTTTAGCTGGATTGTATGGGTATCGCTAAACTTTCTCGGTAAGACCGAAACATTTGTGTCAACATTCATCGGAACATTGACCAGATTACCTTTGAGACCAAACTGTTTACAGAAGCCTAACGTTCGAATAACCATAAAAGGAATTCTTGGCGATATTAATCTTTCTTCTAATTCAGTTAAGATTTTTAAACAATCCGGTATTTCATAGAATGCTAAACCATTAGTTAGACAGAGATTAGGTACTTTATTCAACATGATGTCCTTTCTGCATGTGACACATAATTTGATGATTGTATTTTTGAGATAACAGACTGTGTCAATAAATTCTTTTTTTAATCCTTTGTTTATTAACATGTCAATTGTGAATTCTCTGATTGAATATTCAAACCATAAACCACCACAGCAGCTGCAAATATGAGTTGGTCCTTCTTTTATTTTTGACTCATAATTTAACTTCATGACATCAAAATTATTTTTGTATTTATCTCTACTATTATGCATTCTTAATGCATTTCTTCTTCTCTCTTCCTCTTTATATTCTTCCTCTTCACGTTTAATTTTAAGAGCTTCTGCTCTTTTTTTGTTTTCTTCAGTTTTAAATTCATCATTTTGTCGTGAAATTTTATGAGCTTCTGCTCTTCTTTTATTATCTTCTGTTTTAAATTCAT